TTGTAATTTTTCATCCATTCAGCCAACCTACATCTTTTGAGAGGTACATACAACCTGTTAACACTGACTGATAGCATTGATATGTGGGATGTTGGTTTGTTCATCCTTTTGGATAGTTCCTTATTGCTTTATTTCTTGTTCTATTGTTTAGTAGGAGTTGTGAGTTTCAAGGGTTTTTCTTTGTGGTGAATTTAGCCGATGGCAATTTGTTTTGCTGATTTGTGTAGTGCTATTCTGAGTATTTTGTGTAAAGCAGTCCGGACAGAGCAAATTCCCTCAGTGTTTGCTTGTGTGGAAAATACTTAATTTCTGTTGATTGTGAAATTTTGTTTTGTAGGACACAAAATTCTAGACTGGTATTTGTTCTGTTTAAGTCAATTCAAGATGGGGCCCCAATTCCTTCTGATTTATAAGGTTTTTGCTGAGAAGATGATATTCAGGTAGATGGCTTTTTTATTTTATTTGGTTTGGGGTTTTTTGATAGGTTATTTATTTGATACTTTTGTCTTCCTGCTTGGAGAACATTCTCCTTCATTTTGACTGTGGCCAGTTTGATTACTATGTGTCTTGCAGATGACCTATGAATCCTCCCAGTGTTCAATGCCCATCTTGTATCCACACATCTGAATTTCTAGTGATACCAGGGAAGTTTTCCTCAAATAGGGTTTCCATGCTTTTAGTTCTTTTTCTCCTCCCTCAGAGATACCTATAATTCCAATGTTCGATCAGTTCACATAGTCCCTTATCTCTCTCAGTGATGGCTCAGACTTTTTTATTTTCTCCTCTGCCTCCTGGAATGACTGGGTTATCTCAGTAGCATTGTCTTCAAGCTCTGGGATTCTTTCTTCTCCTTGGTTTAGCCTTTGGCTCCATTTTGAAATGCCCTAAATGACTCATTACTTTAAGTTCTATTATGCCCTTTCTTTTGTTATCTAGCTCTCTAGTGATTTCATGCTTTTCACTGATTTCCTGAAATATTGTTTGGCTTCTCTTTGTTGGATTTTTACTTTCTCTGTGATTCCATTCATCTTATTTGCCATCCATATTCTGAATTCCACTTCTGTCATTTGGCAATTTTATTATGGGTGGGGTCCACTATTGTAGCTTCATTTTGTTCCCTTGGGGATATCTATTTTGTTTTTTCATGTTACCAGAGTTCTTTTGCTGGTTTCTTCTCATCTGACTTCCCCTCACTAAGCTCTGGGTTAACAGGATTGCAGGGCACCTGTTCTCCCTTGCTCTAACTTGGGCACAGCTTCAGCACTGGTTCTGGGGATCTTGGGGACAGAGCCACCATTGTGGGTACTGCTGATGGCCTGTTGTGCAGTCTCAATGGCCTAGGGTCCATACAGGTGGGCCAGCACTACTGTTTAGCCTAGGTTCTCCCAGCACCATGCAGTCATCTCAAATTTCCCAAGTGGTGCCTTTGGCATCTGGGGTTCCTACTTTTTCATCTCCCATGCTGGAGAGGTGTACTTGGCCCCCAGTCACAGCGCACTACACAGGGTAGCATCTGTTCCCTCCCTGGATCTGTGGAGGTGATACAAAGGGTATTGCTAGGAAGCTGGGTTCCATGCAGACATGGCTCCATGCCTCAGAACGATCAGGATCGTATTTGTTGTAGAAACCTGGGATTGGTAGGTACCAACTCTCTGCTGTACCTGCTCTCCAGTGAAATGTCTCTGCACAGACTCTAAGCAGTTCCTTGATCAGCCCAGAGGCCTTTAGGGGAAGGAAACTCCTCACAGATCAACCTACTGTTTCTCCTAATAAGCAATGTCCCCTTGAATTTCTTCTATCCTGCTGTCTTCCCCTCTTCAAAGCAGTGTTAATTGTATTGGGACTCCCAACTTAATTTCTAAGATGGTCCACGATGCTCGTCAGAATCACCCATGCCCTGTTTGAATTGGTAGATGCTATGATAAGCTATAGAGTTGTCCCTCCCTTCCAGTGGCTGGTGCTTACAGGAGAAAGCCAACTGTAGAGATGTTCTTTTCAGCCTGTGATGAGTTCTAGTCCCTCAGGTGGGGCACTTGAATGCTCCAGGGTTGGGGAGTGAGGTCATGTAGCTCCTGGGGAATGTTTAAGTTCCCCCACAGCAGAGATGGGTGAAGGAGTGAGTCTGGGTGTGGTTAAGTTGTGCAAAGCCTCAGCAAGGCTCAGAGGCTGTGTTCTTGGCCAGTAGGGAAAGCTACTGGGACAAGGGTAGAAGCTTTCATAGGCAGAAAGCTGCTTTTAAGGGAGGGACCATACTTCAAAAACTGGCTGTGGGGAGTGAACTCTGTCCCTTTTGCTTTGCCCCTGCCCTCAGGCCCTGAATTCACTGTACTCAGTTGCTATGATGCCCTGGGCTGGGATCCTCCCCCCCTGCATGCCAGCTGCATGTGGTTGCTATGGCACCATGGAGTGGGATCTTCCCCACTGGAGACCCCACCCTACTCTGACATCATGACTTTTTTCCCTATGGAGGGACGGGCACTTCCTTAATTTGCTATGCCCTGGACCCCCACAGTTTTCTCCTATCAGTTCCACCCATGTAGGCTTCTTCACCGCCCACATCCAGCTCCTAAATATCTTTCCTCCCATGTCCCACAGCAACCTGCTAAAGTCCTGAGGGTATGGGATCCAGCCTGTGTGTCCAACCTGCTGTCATGTATCTCTGCAAAATGTTGGTAAGAAGGAAGCTCCCAGATCAGGTGCTACAGGTCTCCAAGAGGAGATACATATGCCCGAGTCTCTGTGGAAACTTCAGACTGCAGGATACGTGAGCTGCGGGGAGGGGGCTGCTCACCAAATTCTCAGCTGAAACTACTCACATGGTTGCAGTGGGTGAGGGAGGGGCAGGGAATGATAAGCATCTTAAAGGAAGAAAGCCTGCTCTCTAGCTTCTCCTCAATCTCCTTGGAGGGGAACCCCTCACAAAGTGTCCAAGCTCTGGGATCTTGCCCCCCTTCCCATGTGCCTTTTTTGTATTTCATATTCAACCTTTCTAATATTGGAAGCTAGTGTTCAATCTAGCATTCCCCTTTACCCTTCTTTATACATGCATCTAGAATATTAAAAGTACTTGAAAACAGATCATACTAATCATTTCAACTCCATTTAATTCAACAGAGGTTTATCAAGTGCAGGTGCTAGAAGTTTACAAAAAGAAATGAGATATAATCCTTGGCCTAAGGGAGCTTACAATATAGTGGGTGAACATACACAGAGATAACTTAAATCTAATTTAAGCAAGTGTTAAAATAGAGTCATAACCAATAATGGTTACAAATAAGATTAGGGAACAAGGAAGGAATCAAGGTGGAAGATATAGAAAATACCACAGTAGACAATGTTTCAGGTCACAAATTTAGATCCAAATTCATGAACCGAACATAAACTGGTAATTTAATTGAATTAAACTATTTAATCTAATCTAAACAAAATGTGATAGGTCTTAGTACCTATAGAGAGAGGCTAATTGGGATTGAAAATATACATGCACATTCAGAAACATTTCAAGTGTATAATTAAGCAATATATATTTACTAAATGAACTAAATTATTATTTTTTTTTTTTTTTTAGACAGAGCCTCAAGCTGTCCCCCTGGGTAGAGTGTCCTGGCATTACAGCTCACAGCAACCTCCAACTCCTGGGCTCAAGCGAGTCTCCTGCCTCCGCCTCCCAAGTAGCTGGGACCACAGGCGCCCACCACAATGCCCGGCTATTTTTTTTTTTTTTTTTTGGTTGCAGCTGTCATTGTTGTTTGGCAGGTCCGGGCTGGGGATTCGAACCCGCCACCTTAGGTGTACGTGGCTGGCGCCTTAGCCGGTTGAGCTATAGGTGCTGAGCCAAATGAACTAAATTATTATGAAAGATCTTAAAATCAATGACCCTATATAAACTCTTAAAGGAAGAGACTGGTTTTCCTGACTTATATCATCAAGTGTGAAGCAGTGTGAATGAAGAGAAAATGATTTGGTATAGCATTCAAGAAATCATTTTTCTCATTTGATAACATATTTTTTTCATGAAAATTCAAATGATTCAAATATGAACTTTCAGGATTCCAAAACAATTATAAGCACAATTCATTGATGGAATGCTAATTTTTCTTCACCAAAAACCCATTAATGATGGAATTTGAGGATCAGAGTCGAACTTTACTAAAATTGTTACTTGTAAATTATTTTAAAGTGTTACATTTAAAAAATAAGATGAAAATGTCCTCAGACCATACAATCTTGTGTAAGATCTAAGTTTGCCTGTGTATTTTCCTTTCCTTAAGCTAATAGCATGTAGCTTTCTAGACTATTTAGCATTCTAGTCAGTGGTAAAAGAAAATTAAGATATTGAGCATTATGCAACTTCTTTACCACACATACATATGTGGTTTCCATACCTTAGATTTAAATGTTTAATGAATTTAGTCAATAGCTGTCTATAATTAATATAGACATAGTAATTTCATTTCTAGATAGTTCTTAATATTGAGATCATTTCTCAAATCAATTTTTAAAAGAAACAAGATAAAGGATAAAGGTGAGGATGCTTTTTATTTGTCTCAGATTTGTTTTTTTAAACCACTTGGTCATTTAAAATTTCTTGGTTGTATACATTGTTTTCCCACACCTGAGTGTTGACAGCCCATGGAACATCACTCCTTCTAGAGCAGTTTCCCCCATGGGGGTGATTAGGGTAAAAATAGAGGGGAAATATTTTAGCATCAGCAGGAGAGTTTTCCCAACTCCTACCCTTACAACTACAGAAAGCCAATACTTTAGAGGCATGTTGCATACCTAATAAGACCACTAGAACAGACTTCAGAAGCTACTGTCACAAGTGCTGCTAACAAGGTTCCAAGAAGAGTAACAAGGCCAACATATAGGGCTTCTAAAGAAACCTATGTCTTCATGGAGATGCAGGTTCCCAGCTACACTAAGGCAAGGCAAGAAACCAAAGGAAGGAATATTTCCATCATTATCTATGCATAAGTGGTCCACTTTCTATTGCTTACCTCCAATATTCTGAATTATTATGATGCCTGCCACCACCACCTGTAAAAGAACAAATATATTCAGAAATAAAAGAGCAAATAATACAAGAAGATTGGTAGTTTATTAAAACCCAATAACTATTACTATAAAACAGACGCAGAAGTCATCAATGAAGAGAAATTGGAAAGAATAAATGATATCAGTCATTTGTAATACATAAAATTAATAATCATAATATAAAAAGCTTTCCTTTTCTAGTTCTATGGTTACTATAAAGCACGTTTTTGAAATTTTTCTTGGCAGTGATTTTTAAATAGTTAAAAATATTAAAAAACTGATTATCAATGATTATCAAAGTATAAAACATTAAAACTCCAGCTATGGGGACAGTGTCTCACTTTCTCTTTCTTTCTGGTTTTATTTCACTGTGTTAGTAGACAGACCAGGACAAGTTGGGGGCTGCTGTGCCAATGCTGAATTGCCTAAAAGAAAATGATACAGTCTTCTATCAGTTTAGTATACACCCAGCCTCTGAGCATCTCAGTCTCAGGGTTTAATAAATAATAAAGTCTAGAAAAGAAAATTCTAGAACTTAAACTTTCTCAGATCCTGGAAATGTAGGGATGATCTTTTAAACTCAATAAGGTGAAGTTGAGGGTAAGACACTAGGAGTGGTAAGAACTGCAACATATCAGAGAACCCCTCCCCTCTCAAAATGGGGCAGCTGCCAGCAGCTCTGGCCAGTTGAGGGCATGTGAGAATGTGGATCCAATAGAAGCAGATCTCCTGAACACTTGAAGAGGCAGACAATGTTTCCCCCACCTCTTAAACTAGTTTAGTAAGTTTGGTGCAAGTGAGCACTAGTGCCCCAATACTAATCGCTATTATTTGTTTTATTCTGAGCAGAAAAAGCAGCAGATTTTGAGTCTGGAGTCCTAGGATGTGATACTGGTTTCACTATAGGTCCCTTAATTTCTTGGTCCTTAATTTCCTCACCTGTGAATGATAGAATAGGTAGATAATCTTTTAGCACTGTTCAACTCATACATGACATGATCTTCTCATTACTGGTTTTGTGTATAGCCATGCTACAATTTTAATTCTAGACTGCTTTCCTCTCCTGTCTTTAAAAGGATTTATTCAAAGAATACAGTCAAAATTAATATGGAAAAGTTAAAATGGGCCACTGTTACTCTTTTAAAATTGTTCAAGTCATTATGCTCCTTAATTGAGGGTGAAATTCACTCAAAGAATTAAGTGCTAAAAAATTACCATGTATTTTTAGGGAAGGTGCATAGAAAGATTTCATCCTTTTTTCTGCCTGCTCCCACCATTCTGTCTTACTTCACTTTACTTTTCTTTTATTCCCTCAATGTCCTTCTCCTTCAAACAAAAGCAAAAAATGTCATTTTGGGTTTTGGACACAATGATGAGAAAAAAAATTACCTTTCCAGGTAATCCAAATGCAAAGAGGCCAAGATCTTCATAAGATGTTACAGCTGTTAAGAGAAATTATGATTTTCACTTTTACTTTTATTTATGTGCCAGTTATTAAAAGGAATAAAGTTAACTCCACTAAGTCCAGTAAATACTTAAGACCCAAGTCATTCAGGATTGGACACAAATACAAGAAAAGAAGATCCTTGAATAAAGGCAATAGTAAGAAAGAAGACTGGACTTAATTGGGTATTTTATGTAAAGGTGTTTAATAATTTTCTTCCCCAAATCCTTAATTTTCATCCCACAATATAACCTATAAAGTCTAGGATTTTCAGATGTCTTTGTAAAATGTCTTTTTTTCCAGTAGTGATGGTTTTCACTCTTTAAAAACTCACTGATTCCTTTTACTATGTCTGCTAACATAGCTCATGTTCTAAAAGATATCTGTCCAAGCTGCACAAAGATTATTTCCCCCTGTTATAAAAAAAGTTTCTGATCTATACAAGGTAACTAATGTCAACACACAGAATAATGTCATTTTGGTCACCAACTAATTACCACCTATCTGTCCGACATCTCTCTGTAGTTATTTTAAATAAATCTGGATAGGCTGAACACGGGTAAATGAGTGATTTCTCTTAGGTCTTCTGAAATAATGAAAGTGGCATATTGCAAGTACAAGTTGGATCTATCAGGTGTAGAGCATAAATGTCTTAATCCTGTAATTGGGTAAAAGAGGTGAAGGCTATGTTGCTTAGTAGGATGTAAGCATTCCAATTTGTACAAATAATCAACACATTGAATCCTATAATGGCATAAATGTATTTATGATCTATGTATGAATGGCTTAATTAAAAAAAGAGGCCCAAACACTCCCAATATTAATTTTCTAAACTCCTTATAGTTTAGATCCACCTGCTTTATAGATAGATAATCAGACTAAGCATACGGTACAAATAATCTTTTTTTTTTTTTGGAAAAACTTTGAAGACTTATGGTCTGTAAGGGTAGGTCCTCTGAGAACAGGTCAGACTGTTAAGGCTGTCTACCAGCCACTCGGGCAGCATTAATTCAAATGGGATTACTCAAGAACATCACTATTTCTCACCACCCAGCATTTGCACACCACACCGTGCAAATATAAGTTTTTATTGGCAGTGGTTTCTAAAAACCTGATATATAAAGTTAGATAAAGTATAAAAGTTGCATAATATTTTCAGAGACATTCACTTTTCCAGGTTTCTGATTATGTTCGTGAAAGAAATACTCTTCTCCTATAATTAGCAGAGTATAAACCTTTTCATCATAAAAGAGTATTAAGTTACATTTTTATGTCACATGTTCAAGAAGCATGGTCATAGGAAAGATGAAAATTATTAAATGGCTCATAAAAGAACCAAATTATGTCCTCAGACCATCTGGCTTCACGCTTTAACTGCCGTGGCACCACCGTATAACCCTCCAGTTTGGAAAGGGCTTTACATTCTAGTGCTTATACTAAAGTGAAGCAGAGTTGTAGACACTATGGCCTGGGACAGCAATTCACATCTCCTGCTGAGTTAAAGATATGACTCATCATTTCTTGGAACCAGTTTTAATATATCCTCTCAAAATATACACGGGCTTTCTTTCATCTGCTACTTTTTTTTTTTTTATAGACAGAGTCTCACTTTGGCACCCTTGGTAGAGTGCCGTAGTGTCACAGCTCACAGCAACCTCCAGCTCTTGGGCTTAGGCAATTCTCTTGCCTGAGCTTCCTAAGTAGCTGGACTACAGGTGCCCGTCACAACACCCAGCTATTTTTTTGTTGCAGTTTGGCCGGGGCTGGGTTTTAACCCACTACCCTCGGTATATGGGGCCGGTGCCCTACTCACTGAGCCACAGGCGCCGCCTGACCTGCTACTGTATTAACAAAAAACTTCTCTACACTTTAGAGTCAAAAACCTCTAGGCATGTAAAAATAAACATGTATGGTCTTTACATGTTATAACTACAAAGTCAGAAAAAGAAATAAGTAGAATGCTGAAAACATAAGGAGATTTACTAATTAAGGACAAAAGTTTTAACTTTATTATCAGAGTTGATCAAAGAACTTGGAAACTTTTTGAATTATATAGTTCTTTTAGAAAATGTTTTTACATACATCTAAACATAGTTCAGGAGGACAATTCAGTCTTGAATTTGGGATATATAACTTAATTATGAGTATGAATTTTTATGTTTTAATAATAAAAGATTTCAACAATAATTTTCCAAGGGTAGATTTTGGATATACTTTAGAATATACAAAAAAAGCAGAATTACAACACTAAGAACTGGAATTTTTCCTTCCAATGTGAAATACTGAAATTCTTTTGTCAAATACATAATATATTCTAAAGTAAATACAATCACAAAATAACTATTTTAATCAACAAATCTTACTGTTTTTTTAAACATTCTTAGACTTAATTGATAATGTTGTAGATAAACACAATTCCTTAAATTTAATATTCTAAAGCCTTGGTATACATATTAAAGCTGAAAGTTATCTAAATACTAGCTTCTTTTTAACTTGACCTTGAGAAGGTAGTAATTTTGCTATTTATTATGGGAATCAAGTCTCTAGAGGATCTCTGATCTGTCACTGAGGTATGAGATTAAAGAAATATCATCATACATTTTTAGTATCCTTTTCATAGCACAGCTAAATGTGTTCATTTCTTTCTTAAGAAAAACTTGGTTTCAAGAATTTAAAGCAAGAGGCTTTTTAGAGTTGTTATACATATTGGAATATATCAAATATCTGCTTTGCAAATGATCTATTTTGCATTAATTAGTGACTGAGTTATCAAGACGATATTTATCAAAAAGTTTAGCTGGGGTCCGTTTTATTTTTAGGCAGTAGAAAGTAAGTATAGATTGTATATTTAGTAAACATAAAAAATAAATACCTTTACTATGAACCAAAATTGTAAGACTGAAAGATTCTAAAAAGAATTGCTATTTCAGCTATCTAAATTTAAATAAACATTTATTCTTACTTAAATCATTAAAATACAACCTTTAAAAAAAAAATATGGACAGCACCTGTGGCTCAAAGGGGTACGCTGGCCCTATATGCTGGAGGTGGCGGGTTCAAACCCAGCCCTGGCCAAAAACTGCAAAAAAATAAAATACAACCTTTACTATTCCAGAAAATATTATCAAACTAAAAGTTTAATGAAGACAGTTTTAATTGTAACTGACAATAATTAAATATGTTTTAGCAATCTGAAAGTTACCCTCTGGGGGTAATTTTTTAGTTTTCAAAAAACATATCTAAATATAGCAAACTTCAGAGGTGAGAATGAAAAAGTTAAGATTCTTAAAATGGGGACTGAGTACAGTCTCAAGTCCTAATTCCAGCTTTCCAGTCAGCATGTCCGGCTGGTCATTCAGCACCCTCCCTGTTAGCAGACTTCTTTTATGTTGCAAAAATAAGCAGTACTTCTCCATGCCTGAGACATCGTGAACAGGAATAATGGCTTCTGGATTAACACTGATGCTTTACTAAAGTAAAATGTATACATAGGGCTCGGTGCCTGTGGCTCAAGTGGCTAAGGCACCAGCCACATACACCTAAGGTGGCGGGTTCGAATCCAGCCAGGCCCGCCAAACAACAATGACGGCTGCAACCAAAAAAAAAAAAAAAATAGCCGAGCTTTGTGGCGGGCACCTGTAGTCCCAGTTACTTGAGAGGCAGAGGCAGGAGACTTGCTTGAGCCCAGGAGTTGGAGGTTGCTATGAGCTGTGATGCCATGGCACTCTACCCAGGGGGACAGCTTGAGACTCTGTCTAAAAAAAAAAAAAATGTGTACATAGTCAGCCAAATGTTTTATTTTCATATGCTCACTTTTTAATGGTCTCCTGAAGCATCTTGACATACAAACCAAAACACTTTGAAATACTTTTAAAGTTCTGTTCTGTCACTTGGGCCATTTCTCAAAGTGCCGGTAATAGTAAAAACTGGTACTGACTGTTTGAACGATGAACCTTTAAAATACTTAAAACATCTGAACCCTGGGAGCTTGTCTTAGGACATAAAACTAAAATCAAGAGACATCACTACAGGCAAAGGTACTCATCATGGTATTGTTTACAGGGGAAAAACAAAACTAATCTGTATGTTCAACAATGGGAAAGTGCTTACATAAATTGTAGTAGGTATACCTGATAGAATAGTAAGTAATCATTAAAACTATGTTTGTAATAGCAAGAAAAATGCCAATATGATTGTTAAGTCAGAAACATAAAAAGACTGGGATCAATTATACACAACGGTAATGATGATTGCTTAGTCTTCATTTTCTTCCTTCTTCAGAGGAAAGGAGTTTCACATGTTCTATACTGACTATCATGGAAGTGATAGCACTTCATTTTTGTTTTGTTTTACAGAGAATGGATTTTGCTTGAGCTATAATTGCAATGGCCCACTCATGGCTCACTGCAGTCTTGAACTCCTGGGCTCAAGAGATCCTCCCAGCTCAGCCTCCTGAGTAGCTAGGATTACACACATGTGCCACCATGCCTGGGACTAATTTTTTTTTTTTAAGTAAAGAAAGGGTCTCACTATGCTGCTCAGGCTGGTCTTAAAGCCCTGGCCTCAAGGGATCCTCCTGCCTTGACCTCCCAAAATGTTGGAATTACAGATGTGACCTGCCATGCTAACTGGAACTTTATTTTTTAAAACCATATCACTTGAATAGTTCCATTTCCTCTACCTAATATCTGATAGGTTTTATTTAAGGAGAAATTTTAATTTTCTCTGGTGTTTAATAGTTGAAGTATTGCCTGGTCTACTAATAGGGGATATAGTTTCAGCACTTTCCTATGATCAACATCTTATGAAAGATGTTTTGAGAGATACAAAAATAAGATGTGTTGATAACTCATCACATTAACAGCATATTCCTACAGATCAGGAATAATGCCAACTATGAAATTATAAAATTAATTCAGTCTTTTATAGGAATTCATACAAACAGTACTTGGCACAACCCATAAGTAAACTGAGAGTAACATTAACAATTCATTTTAT